AATTACTTTCTTAGTCAAAGAAAATCTGTTCAGCCTGCCTGCGTGGCACTAATGTTATACCTTAGAATATTTACCCTCGCTAACGGGCATGCTGCTCAGTTGGGAAGCAGTAGCACTTGCAGAAAGATGTTTCAGCATGTATATTGATGTTTCCACCCTAACTTAAAATGATCCTTTTACTGGCAATACAATGCACTGTTAACGCCGCACTTTGAACCAGCTCTCTGCCATGACTCCTTCTTATTGCAAGTTTCCAGCAGCACAAACACAGGAGATGTCAATGTTTTTTGCAATGTGCAACTGTCAGAAAAACATGCCGGCATCAATACAAGGAATTGGTAAGCTCGAAGGCAAACGATTTCAATAGACTGGACAATTAGGAACCAGTTCTCTGCTAGAACCAGTTTTGGATTCCCATCCCTAATTGCAGATTTTAAACAAACTTACTGGCTTGTATTTAAAACTGATATAACTCCAAATAAGTTAAAATTATTCTATGAGTGCAGCTGTTTAAAAGATATAGCATGCAGGATTTTCCTTAAAAAAAAAAAAAAGTATAGACTCATACAGAAGCAATCCCTCTCAATCATCACTAGAAGTGTGTGGAGTGTCTTTATCTGCAGAGACTCTGCTCTCTGCCTGTATTTTCTTCTTATTCTCTTTCGGGACATTTGTGAGTATGTAGCCCCACAGTGCTCAGGTGAGGTCATGGCTTTATATAAAAAGGTAACGACCAGGTGCCAGACTGAAAATACGCAGATACAGCGAGGCAGACTTTTACTTTCACTTTTGCTGGTGAGCGTGTTTATAATCAGTAACCAACAATCCCGCATACTATAACTTTAAATTTACTCCATGAGTGTACTTGTTTAACTGCGGCCAGTAAGTAGAACAATATCATCGTCCAACAACCTTGGCCTTGATTTATGACCTGCAAAAGCCTGCAGCTGAAAGTTAGTGTGATTTTGACCAGTAACCACAGAAAGAGGAACAGTCTCACAAGATAACAGCATGGCCTACACATGATTTAAACAAGGAGGAAGCTGAGGCAGAAATGGTTGGGTTTTTTGTGTTAAGTGTGTCAAGAGCAAGTAGAAACTACTTGAGTAAGCAGAACAAATGTATCTTAAAAAGATATGCTTACTCTGCAGTCATGGTGCACTGTAAAAAGTCCTGAGTGCGAACAGTCAGGCAGTTTGTAATCCCATGGCTCTGCAGCCAGTGATGCACCACCTTCTGGGTCAGCTCAGACGGGCGCACCAGGGAGGAGACTTCCTCCAGGGTGAGGTGTTTACCTGCGGAGGACAAAACAGGCCTCAGTCATATAAAAAAAGCATTTGTCGCATCAGTTACAGCTGTTTTTAAACTGTCAAACCAGAGCATTGACAGAGTTAGAAACAGAAAAGTGACAAGCGTAAGCTGATTTTTTTTTTTTAGGTTACTTGAAGACTACTGGCAATTATCAGCCAGAGCCCTGCCTACCATATTGTGCTGAGTCAGGGTCTGAGACCTGTCTCAGTGTTTCCTCCAGCTGGTCAGTGTTTTGCTGCTTCAGGGCAAAGGTCAGCTCCAGCTCCTCTGAGGGGTCCACACGACGCACATGAGTCCAGTCGTCTGGTATCCTGAGGACAGACGAGAACCATTTCATGACATTTCACTAAGAGAGGCTTCACTTCAAAGGACACTGTGACACTGAATACAGAGCTGCTGACCAACCTGTTGAATTTCAAGTACTGATGAACTTGTTGTGATTCTACAGTGGACTGAGTCAGTAATTTGAATTGAATGATTGGTCCAGATTTGTGCCAACCTGTCCTGCAGCTCATGAGATCTTTACAAGGTTTTTAAACTCTTGAAAACAGCCACAGACATTGCGGGTCCGAGACACCAAAACTGTTCAGTGAGGGAAAATCTGAACCTGATTTTGAGACTGAATTTGAAGCCACGTTTGCAAACAAAAGTCACCAGAGTATAAGTTCCCTAAAATCAACCCACAGAGCAGTTGCAGCGATAATAATTGCAAGTCACTTTATATATCATTTTATGGATTTCTCCTTTCACACCAGTCTCAGCTGCACATGGGCTGATCTGTATCTACATAAAAACTCAATAAAGGCTTGACTTTCAAATTTCACAAAAAGGATTCAAGCAAGGTGAGATACAAGGATAATTGTATAGATGACAGAGGGATAAGGAAATGGCTCTTAAAATGGATTTACTCACAAGACATCTTGGTCATATTCCAGATATCCACTCCACACCACCGAGCTGAACAACAAGGGGACTGAGAAGGTCAGTCTGTGGGAAGAAAGAGAAACAAAACACTGTTGAACAAACATGTCCACATGCTGAGATTCATACGCACATACATGTCCCGGGGAGATATTACAAACACGTCCTGACTTCCGTGTGTTATCTCAGGATTATAGGAGGAAAACAAAGTCTCAATGTGACTTAGCTCAGTAGGTCAACGTACACGGGTTTCTCAACACAAAGATAGACTCGTATAAAACGGTCTGCTCACTATATTTGTGACAAAAAGACACTTTAATATTTATATTAGCTTTAGCAGTATGTGAACACCTTAACCTGTTCTGTTAGCAGCAGCTATCTGTCTCTATCTAGGTCAGCACACCGGTTAAAACTAAAAACACGCCACATTATATGAGCCACGTTTGAAAGAGCTAACGTTAACTGACTAATTTCTGTCCTGGTTTCACCTATAAAACAATATTATAACATAAGTAAACTTATTTAAAGCACTCACAGTGTGTTCATCGTGTCCTCGGCTGGTACACTGTCTAAACTCGGCTGTGTGTCTGCTGGGCAGGCGGTTATAGCCCCAGCGGTCACGTGACAGCACTCACGTGACATTGTTAGTCACTAGGGGTTTTTTGCACGCGCCGTCTGGCACATTCAACAACCTTTATCTTATATACAAAGGGAACATTTGGGCAAGGAATCTGTCGCTTTATATTGGACTATATCTATGATGCTTTTGTACTTTGCTTTAAGGATGTAGAGGTTAGTTGTCACACTTTTTACTCTGGTGTAAATTGCTCATCATCAAAACATCTTTCAATAGTCATTTCCACATTAAATTAAAGCTTAAGGTCTTGGCTTGAAATATGTATGTAAATGTGTAGCAAGAAGTAATTAACCATCAAAGACACTCTGACCCATTGTTACAACCAAGCCCATCACAGGGTTGGATGTCCCTGTAATTATTAATGGGGTTCCAGGGGGACAAAAAGATTTTAAATAGTTTTATAGATAAACCAAGTAAGTTTTGGAATGAATACCACCCAACTGTTTGTTCGAATTATCCTCTGTAATGAAAGGTAAATGAAGGAAACTATGGTGGGTGAAACAAAAACATGAAGGGCCCGTTCTAGGCCCAATGTTTTGCTCATCCATCCCCCGTATAAAAAAAAAGGAAAGGAAAGGCTGCTGATAAAGTTTAGCATCCCCTTCCTCAGGTCTGGCGGTTTGCTCATCATATTATCAGCTTCCTCCCCCCAACCCTGCAGAAACTAGCAGAAAACATAACAAACATTTTAAAAAAGAGACTGTTCATCAGGGTGAATAAACCCCCTCTTTATTCTCTGGGCGTTGCCCACCACTGATACCAGCCTTCACCTGATCATAAAGTAAGTTTTTAAATTGGTCTCTCTTCTCACTTTGATTAGAGTTGATGCCTGCTTTTCTGTTGCTGCAGCGCTGCATCCTGTGTTTTAAGGTTGCTCTCTCTGATGGTTGGCTCCAGTCTTTATTTTCATTGTATGTCTCTTTCTCACTCTATATAATGTTCTTTCTTAACTGTCTGTATGTCTCTGCACCTGTTTTCACATGTTTTGTTATCACCATGTTGCACAATAAAGTAAAACAAACAAACAAACAAAAAAAACACAGACAAGCTCCATATGTAGATATAAACAGCTTAAGGTAGTAAAAACATGGTTCTTTTTTCAGGCAATTATAAACTGATAAAAATGCCCTAAAGATGCCCTTAAATCCTACACACTGGACCTTTAAGACAGAGGGAATGTTGGATATCTTTTAACACTCTTTGAATCAGAAAATAGCCATTTTTAAAAAAATCTGTTTTCACCCTGTTTTTAGGAATTAAATGTTATATAAATCAGGTTTTGAATATAATATGAACAACCCTACACCTTCAGAATATAGATAGGAAGTGGACATTTCTGGCTCAGAGTAAGACAAATAAATACATTAATTCATTCATTCATTCATTGTAATTAATTATTTAAATAGCCTCAAAATTTACCCTTCCAAAGTGGACAGGTAGTCAAACATATTACTTTAAAATGTATTAAAAGTGAACACTACAATATAACTAGTGTTATTGTCATCTGCATGTGTGATTTACACAGACAGCAGTGCTCTTCATGTATTGCATATAGCAGTGATACTCAACTCACAGCCCACGGGCCAAATGTGGCCCCTCAACCATTTTCTTATTCACAGTGAAAATAAATTGATTCACAATGGGGGTTTCTTTTGTACTTTAAATTTACACAAGGTGCTGAAGTGCATAAAAAGGCATCAAAATGGAGCTTCTTTATCAAAAAAGTACCAGGGGAGGATCTCCCAGTCCCCCCAAGACAAATCCAGACTAAGCCTGGAGTGTTAACAAATCCTAGGAACGCCCTTGCCTATGTGTGCGGGGCTGCTGCGAGTGGCCCCTGGCCTCCTGTCATTTAGTTTTTTACATTTTGTTTAAATGCGGTATTATTCAATTAAATATGTGGTTTGCATAAATTACCAAAACAGAAATCTGAACAAAAATAAAACTTTAATGTGTATTTTGGTTGTTTTCTTTCCTTTAGTCTGAAAGATTACTTTTTATGCAACATATATATAATACACACAAAGAAACCATGACTACGAATTAAAGAATGTTTATTTAAAGAACAGTTACAGCTCATTTCTGAAAAAATTCAAAAACTATATTTACAGGTACATACTGGAACAGTCAATTTTTTTTTTTTTTACAGCATATTCAAATTTTAAAGAAATTTCCAACTATTAACTGTACAAAATGCCACACTGCTGAAACACTACATGTGTCTAATTTTTTACACTTGTCACTGCAGGTTGTGTTGAAAGGTTAAAATCAGTGACTGTTCATGGTGTTTGTTTCACACTGAAGAGATCAACTCAGAGTTTACATTTAAAAAATAATTCAACTCCAAACTGCAAGTTTTATTGTTCAAATCATGAGTTCGTCAAGGGAAAAAGTCACATCTCTCCTCTGTTCCACTGATTTTAATTCATTCAAACAATTTTTGATGTTTTTATTTAAAATAATGACTTTCAGCTCCAATCAGTTGTTGTCTGTGAAGTAAAAATCCTCTTCCTCTTCACTGTCAGACAGCACGCCATTGTTTCCTGGGAACATCTCCCAAACTACAAAGGTGTCTTCTTCAAGTGCAAAAGGAAAGAAACAGATTGTGTTACAAAACAAATGCAGAAATATCAGCTTTCAATTACAGCAGCAAAAATGTGTTCAACAAACTTCTGAAAATCTTAGTGTGAGAATCAACTATTAAACACAGATACATACAGTGACAGACAAAAAACAGAACTACTTCACTGTAATGAAACTACTGCCTTAGCATTAATGAATATCACGTTAAACAGTCTACCTGTGTTACTAAAATACAAGCATTATAAAATTCATATCAGTATTAGCTGTAGGAGATTGTTTTGCACATCTCTCAGGAATCCTACCTGCGTTACCACATCTTCTCATTGATCGTTTAACTGATGGTGTGGGTGAGAAACTCTGTGACAGACAAAGAAGAAAATTCTTATTTTACTAATTGAATATTAAAATCCCCCTGATTCAGGATAAAAAGAATCTCAGAAATATAATATATGAATTACTATTAATATTATCATTAATTACCTTTGTCTTTGAAGTCTTTTTGCAGACGTTAAACTGATTTTTTTTCATCCTCTTCTGGAGCTGATAGACGTACTTGTCATCATTGGTCCTTTAAAATCAATACGAGGTAAGTTAGTTATGCTGCGATCACTTCACATAAGCTTGAACACAGAGGTCAGTGTTGTTCACCTGCTGGGAGAACCCATCATGCCAGGGGTGATATGCAGGCACTGAGGAGTCTTCACTTCGGGGAAACCTGCGGACATGGGGGTCAGGGGCTCCATGTCAGGCAATCTGAAGTCGTGCTCACTTGGACAGATGGAGGGTATCTATCCGTCAAGACAGGTGAGAGGGTTAGCATACATTTTGTACAATGTCCTCATCGTGAAATCTCGAAACAGAAAGAAACAAACCTCGAAGCGTTTATTCTGCATGTACGCAGAACTGAACACATCCTCAACATCGTCTCTGGGCATAGCCTCCAGGAACTGACGCACCTGCTGCTTTCTCTTGAAGGTCCCCGCTCGGGCCGATATAACTGCATGATCTGTAACCAGGCATAGAACACAGCTTGTCAGATCTCTACAGTTGCACATGTCGTCTCTTTTGCAAACCAGCTTACAACCAGCTCAAGCTTCTCCTAGTTAGAATTCCTTCAGTGTTCATTATTCAGGAGGTTTTTACCACAGCCACATTACCTGCAAAGGTCTCTTCCTCCCCAAAACAAACAGACCAGATGATTTAAACACTAAATAAAGAACTTTCACGTATATAAATCTTTTTTTCCTCGTCTCAGCGGGTCTTTTATACTATGGTGGCCGACACAAAAATCTGAACAGCCCTGTAGAAGCTAGCCTATTGGCTCCTACAAGCCCTATGTACAGTCAGTATTTGTTTTGTCCGTTCTGGGCTACTGTAGGAACATAGCTATCTCCATGTATGAGGACCCTCTCTCTGCATACATATAAACGGCCCATTCTAAGGTAACAAAAACACTGCTCTTATTATTTTTAAGTGATTATACACACAAGAAAACATTCATTCATTTTTCGCTTAGGGGTCATGGGTGAGCTGGAGCCTATCCCAGCTGACACTGTACACCCTGGACAGGTCGCCAGACTATCACAGGGCTGACACATAGAGAAAGACAACCATTCACACTCACATTCACACCTACGGACAATTCAGAGTCACCAATTAACCTGCATGTCTTTGGACTGTGGGAGGAAGCTGGAGTACCCAGAGAAATCCCACGCTGACACAGGGAGAACATGCAAACTCTGCACAGAAGGGCTCCCCCTCCCTGGGGTTCAAACCAGGAACCCTCTTGCTGTGAGGTGACAATGCTAACCACACCACCACCATTCCATTTCTGCCAATGTATCTCCCTAAATCCTACACACTGGACCTTTAAAGGGGAACTGAGACACCAATTTGACGCACCCAAAATCTGTTACAGGTTTATGGAAAGTACCACTGCAAAACTATTACGACTACTACCAACACATTAAAGGGATAGTTCACCACAAAATGAGAAATAACATATTTTACCTCTTACATGTAGTGCTATTGATGAGTCTAGATTGTTGTAATTTGATTTGCAGAGTGTTGAAGATATCAGCTGTAGAGATGTCTGCCTTCTCTCAATTATAATGAAACTAGATGGCACTCACTAATAGTGAAAATCCCTGGAGATGCCTAAAGGTAATCCAAGTAATTCGCCAGGAACTGTGAGCTAAAGAGGCTCCAGAAAACAGCGAGCTTGCATCCCAAACTAAAACCTTTCTCTACCTGGATCTTTCGGTGCTTCCACATTTTCCTTTTTGGTCTTCTTGGATTTCTTAGCAGGAGTCCGGGAGGTTCCCTGGGATGTGTACTGGCAGTGGCACTCTTCTGCAGAGCGTGTTCCAACCATCCTCGCCACCTTTGTCCAGTAACCCTCCATGTGCTTAGGATAGTAGGACACAGCCCTGGATAACACAAACACATACACCAGTAAGACATAAGGTTATGATACAGAGAGATGCAACTCTAAATCTGCAAACTGCTACTCTCTCAATCTGTAGCTCTACAAAACGTACTGCTGTAGCTTCATAAGCTCTGTCTCTGTCCACGCGTCTTCATCCTGCTGTTGTGGAATCGGAGCGATGTCTTTCGATGCCTTGGGTTTCTTGCTGGATTGTGTCAACTTAGGGGAAGGCTTTTTGGGTGATGATGACTTGCCGCGTTTGCTCTGTTTATGTGTTTTTCGTGTTACTTTGGTTCTCTTCCTCACATCCTCAAACTCCTCAGACGACTGCAATGAATCGTTTGACTCTATTACATAGTTTGGCCGTGACTTTAGAGCTCTCCTGCTTCTCCCCTTGTGCGCTTCTTTCTGCTGCTTCTTCCTCCCAGTGACCTCTTCGGGTGATGATGCTGATGTTGTATCATTAACAGATTCTTGGGATGCTGAGGTCGCTCGTTTGCTGCCTGAAGCTCTCACTGAAGGCCTTGTGGTGTGATGTGCCTTTTTTGTTGAAGTCTTTTCGGGTTCACTTTGCTTGTGAGGGACAGTATCCACGTAGAGTGTTCTTTCTTTAGCTGGACGCCTTTGGCTGGACCGTGTTCTCCTGCCAGACCTCTCGTCAGTGCTGCTTTGTGTCTCCACAGAAGGTTCAGGTGAATGAGAGGGCTTCTCTTCAGGATTAACTCTGGCTCTTGCGTTGCGTTTGCGGAGTGGAGCCTTGACTTTCCTCAGTGGTACTGATGCTCCTTCGTCGCTGGCTGATTCACACTGCTTACGACCTGGACACACAGAGGACCGTTATCTGCATGCAGCTCATAACTTATCTCACAATACTTAAAATACAGATCTAAGTTATCTTTACCTTCACTGCAGGGCAGGAACACATGGACAGGTTTCTGTGACGCCCTCGTAGACACCATTGTAGTGACCTCCTGTGAGTTACAGAAATTAACATTTGAAATATCAGTTATTTGTACATAAACAGATATTTTGGATTATTATAAGTCCTGAGCTCAACTTTAGGTGCTTACAGGGATGCAGATGGAGGTGTCATAACATTCATGGATTGTGACATTCATCTGTGCATCCAGAATGACTCTCCCTCCTTTCCAATACTCCAGAGGTGGCTTGATTGTGCGACCACTCCGGGACACTTTTGCAGAAGACAATGAGGCTGGAGGGCAGGAATCAGCTGGAGAATCAGGAGGAGAAAATAAATGTAAGATAAACTTACCACAGATTACAAGTGTCAACGTGAGGATAAAAATCTGAGATGACATTTTTAGCCATGTTAGCAGCTCCGGAGATGGCAATGTAGATTTGTCAGTCAGCCACTCAACCACTATGGTCTGCACGGAAAAATCTCAACAACTGTTGGATGGATTGTCGTGAAATTTGGTGCCCATTCATGGTCCCCAGAGGATGAACCCCAATCCTTGACTTTATATCTAGCAACAACCATCAAGTAAAAATTGTCCAAACCTTCAATTTACCTGCAAAACTAGTGACGTCCTCATCAACTTTAGCTGTACTCTGTGATTAGTGCTAATGTTAGCATGCTAACTCACTAAACTAAAAGGGGGAGCATGGTAAAGATTATAGCCAGCACATTAGCAGTATGATAGTGAGCACATACGCATGCTGACATTAGCATTTAGCTCAAAGCACTGCCTTACCTATATAAAGCCCACAGACTGGAAAATAACAGACGTAGCTTCTGTGATGTCACCTCGAGTTCAGCATTCTGGCCATCACCATTTCTTTATTTTCTTTTTGGAGCCAGAAGTAACCATATTTGGACAAGGGTGGACCTATGGTGGAGCCAGGGGTGGGTCTAACTGAGAGCCAGAGGTGACAGCCTGCCAGTAAAAGTGTCCGCGCCTGTAATGTGTAATGCTCAATAAAATTTAAACAGGTGACTTATATAAAAATTCGCCCCCTATGCAGTTGTCATTAAGGGGGAAGTTAGCTACAGTTCTTTTGTTCCAGACTGTATACATATTAAACTGCCATAGGCTTATGCTAATAACGTTAGCATGTTGTATTTGTTTGGAAAACGTGTTTAGTATAAGACAGTTGTTTTATCAGTGAAACGTGTGAGTTGTAATGGAGCTGAATTTTGTATCGTTACCTTTGTTAAATGTTGCTGTTGTCCCTGGCTTCGTTTGAGAAGAGGGAACGTTCGCTAGCTGCTAGGCTAATTTATACAGTGTAAAATGCCATAGGGTTGTGCTAAAAACATTAGCATGTTGTATTTGTGGGGAAAATGTGTCCAGCAAAAGACAAATGCTTTGTGTGTGAATGCTGCGAGTTATAGTGAAGCTGATTTGTGTACTTATGTTTGAAATTGTCGCTATTAAGCCATGTTTAATGTGTGTTTTGGTTGTGTTTGAATCAGCTAAACTTTACAGCACTTCACAGAAACCCCGCCACCAACTAGTGTTTTGGAGGTGTAACTGCAGAGTGACCCAGACACACCACCGCACAAGTATAAATGCTCACAACAGCATAGGCCACGTGTGTAGTGGAGTATAAATTCTGCTTTAGTCTTGTTACAATTACAATAAATCTCTGTGTGATGCATGTGTATAAAAATTAAAATGGACCAATGGGCTTCTGTTCTCCCTCTCAAACTAATGTACCAAACAGAGAGCACAAAATAACAAGAGGTGTGGGAAAGGCAGTGGTTTCTACAGATCTCTTAACCAAAGAATGCATCCTTGATTGTTCTTGTTCAGAGGATTTATTAGCTTGGCTGTTAGCTAAAGCATTCATCTTCTACTTACGTGTCTTAAAAGTGTTTTTTCTGAGCTGCTTCATAGAATGGTTGACGGAGGAAGCCCCAGATTTTGTCTTCGATGTGATGCCTCTCCCCTCACTGTTCCTCTCTGTTTCTCTGCTGGGATCACTACTACAAAACAAAATTCATCTCTTCAAAAAAGCTGACTTTTAAGAGCTAAGGATTTGTGAATATTATTGTAAAGTTTAAACCACCAAATGGTTATTTTATCTCATGCCTAATAAATTCAACGTCCCCAGCCAAAACAAAACAATCTTGCACCTGTAACAGCATAAATAGGACAAAATAAATATTCTTACTCTCTTGACCCTGACAGAAACCTCTCGTAAAGTGCCTCCCAGTCTGGAGGAAAACCATTAGCAAACTTCTTCAGCAGCCACTTGGGAAACTCTGCAAGCAACAAGTTAAAAGATACATGAAAAAATATTAAACAACGCAGTATTTACATTTGCATTAATGTGTAAGTTTTCTTAACTTCTTTATGACAAAGTAAAACATATTCTCAGTGGAAAATATCCACCCACACAGAATCTGGCTTACCGGACTTGACACTCGTGTTCATCTTGCCAACTAAGATGTAAACCCTGCCGGAGACCGTCTTCACCACAGACTTTGAAACCCTTTCCACAATGATGTTACTGTTCCATGGTATGTTGTCGTACCTGGGCGGAAAAGAGAAGTAAGAAACATCCCAGAGTTCACATTAAACCACACATCCAAAGCATGTTTGTCTCTGAGGACAATCTGACAGTTGGTTACAATAAACTTTGACTGCATTGGTGTTTTTTTTTAACCATAATGTGATGAGAAACACTTACTCGTGAATTCCATCTACGAACAGGCCCTTATTATTCTTCCTCAGGTACCACTTTCTGAGATAAATCACACTCTCCTGCTGAAGAGGAAAACACAAGCCCAAGTAGGAGCAGTAGATTAGGAGAGTAGAACTGTTAATAGGACAATATGATCTAAAATGTGCCTGCAAATTAAACCTTGAATGGTTCAGTGGATTGACTTTGCATGTTAAATCAACATCAGACTATTTAATTTCCCCTAACGTCACCCCTTTTATCAAAGAGATGCATATTAGCTTTAAAATAAGTGTCCGCTACTCACACTTGGGAATTTTGTGCGCTGGGGCCATCTGTTTGGCTCTTGTTTCTTCGGTATGGAGATCCGTGGCGTATTGAGTACAAGCGGGTCTTCAAGCAAAACATGCTGCGGCGATACAGCAGGGTTCAGGACATCCTCAGAGGGATCTGTGTCGGATTGGCTGTCAGCTGACTCTACTCTGGACTGACTGACAGGAACCGCGCTGTCTGGAACACCTCTAAAAGCAACATCCTCCATGTCACCTGTGTCGTGAGACGTGTCTCTGGACTGATGGAAAGCATCTACAAGAAAACATCAAGAACACAATGCAACATGCAAACATGACACAGAAAAACCAAAACAGGAACATAAGTACATCAGCTCAAACTTTTTGCTTTGCTAGATTCAGGTATTTCCACTTCATATCACACTCACCTGCGTCAAAGAGATCCCTCGTGCTGCTGCTGACTCTATGAATTTCCTGCTGCTCCTTTCTGCTTTCCCTCTCCTTCATGTAGGCGAACATCTTGGCTGGAGACATCGTAGGAGCTCTTTCCACATTAACAAGGCAACCTGTTCGAAACAGCAAACAGCAGTCAGTTTCTTCCCCTCTAAGTGATGATGCAAGCAAAAGAGTTTCACTTCTAACAAAGCAGGAAAAGGGAAAGAAAAGGGCCATTTGATTTGATGAATGCACACACACACACCTCCAACATCCCATTGGGTCTGGGGGTTGTTCTATAGGTAAAGAAGCAGCAGGTGGTGGCCTCCATCAGTCAGCCCCTTCTCCAGGGTCTGGGGGCGACTGAGGGGGGGGGGGGGAACCCCTGCAATTTCATTAACTTGTAATTAATTTAATTGAATTTAAAAAAGAAGACAGAGGTGGGGTGTGGGTTAGGAGAGAGATTTTTTTTTAAATTATTATTATATTTATTTATTTTTCTTGTTATTTTTTTCATTAATATATTCATTTTTCTGTCTCCTTATTTCCTAACTTAAATTTGCTTAATCTATCTGCAACGGTTCCTCTTATTTAAACTCAGCCCCCTTTTCACTGCTTCATCAACACGCACCAACACACACAAAATGCCACTCAATGCTCAAATGTTTGTTTCTTGTGTTAATTGTTGTTTTATACGCTTTGTCTCCCACATAGTGTTGTCCCTGTCACGTCTTTCACTTGTTTTGTACCTGCATCACCTACTAAAATAAAATAAAATAAAGTATAAAGAATAAAGCAGCAATAATATCTCACGTTTCTTTCTGAGGATTCTTGGTGATGGGAGCACTGGTTCATGAGTGAACTGGTTCATCTCTGACGGCTCAGCAGGGAATCCTCTGACGTTGCCCAAATCCTCCATGTAAGTCTTGTCGTCCTCACTGAAGGCACTGGAGGTTTTCCTCTCTTGTGGCTGACTCATGGATTCATCGCTGGCCTCCTTTGTGCTGCTGCTGACTTTGTTAAACTCCTGTGGCTCCCATTTTCTCTTCCTCAGCCTTTTCCTCATGGGGGGAAACATACAGGCTGAAGACATCAGCTTGTCAAGAGGAGCGCACTCCTCCTCAAACACACTGCTGTCATAGTCCTCCTCCACTGGCTGTGTCTTAACTGGAGTCCTGCTGGTCACCTTGAAACCACCCATGTCTCTGACCTGAGGTGGGTCTGTGTGGCTCTGCTGTCTGTTGACCAGAGAGGAGGGGTGAGACACAGCTACTGCCTCCAGGAAAGCTCTCTGTCTTGGTGTGCATCCATGTCCCACCTCTGTCACAGGGGGCACTTCCTCCACGCGCCTGCTAACGTCTGAGTATCCGAAGGTTTTCCGAGGACTCGATATGGGTGAAAAAGTCAAAGCCTGAGCTTCATCGCGATAGAAACCAGACCTCTGATTCTCCTTGAGCTCCTCGCTCATCCTGGTGCTCTCTGCTCTCTTCCTGGGCGACCTAAAAACTGCTCCGTGTTTCTCTGTAACGTTACACAGCGGATCCTTAACCGTAAACGTCCCGTCCCTCGCGCACATCCCTTCTCTCTGTACTTTGGATTTTAACTTCGCAAATATCTTGGCAGGAGATTCAAACCGCGGTTTAGTGTGTTCTAATAAATGATGACACGACGCCATTGTTTGAGGGGAAAGGAAAAACTGTTAATTTAAATCCGAGGAGTATGCTAGCAGCTAGCTGGCTAGCCCGCAAATTCAAAATTTCTCTTCGCTGCCGCCTTTATCTGGAAACTGACGCACTGACAAAATACATACGTCACTTCCGCACAGGATTTAAACCTTTCACTTTAAGAGTCTATTTAGTTTTTTACACACATTTTGGTAAAGTTAATTGAAAATAGAGCGTACCTCATGAACATCTAATAACTAATAAAGGTTTTAAAAATATCTGTCGAGCTATTAAATAAATATTACCCCACTTACTTCTATGAAAAGAGGTTAAAAAGCATTTATAATTCCATAATTTATTTATTGTATTTCAACGGTGCAAAAGGGACTAAAAGGTGCATCAAATTTTCCGCCTTAACTGTACAGTAATTGGTGCAATAGTTCAACTACAGCAACTATTCAACCGTGCAATATTTTTCGGTATCAGGGGTGTAAATATGGACAGTGCAGGCAGTGTAACTGCACCGTGGCCTGTGGATTGGAGGGGCCCGTACAGAGAGCAGGCCCTTGCAAGTGATTCAGATTGCTACCTTGAAAATATACCTGTGTTCAAAGATAAATGATAAAAAAAAACAATACAATTATTAATTTAAAAGGTGGTGCCATTTGCTATATACGTCCACAAAAAGGCAAACCCATCTGCGTCATGGTTTTCTTTCTTCTTTGTAGTTTTTTAAATAGTCAGTAGCTATCTAAAACAAAATCATACACTTTTTTTGAATAGGCCATAAATATACTATAAAAACTATTAAGTTAAATGATTATTTGTTTTACTTTCTTTGATATTTTTGTCAGATATGCAGTGATGATTGCTGAGTAACATTTACATTAATGTTGTCTGTCAAGTCTCTATTTGTGACAAGACAATACATGCATGATAGCGTGCACTCAGGCCTGTTATAATAGTGGGCACTGGGGCCCATCATAACTTTCCTAAGCCATTGTTCAGTTTCCTAATTTATTTCTTTCCAACACCACTGCTGAATTTATATTTAACATATGTTGCACATATATATGCCTTATTCTTATTTCTCTTATGTATATGTTCTGTTGCACATTGTAGCATAATAAACATTTTCATATTCTGAATTTTACATACTAGTTGTGTACATTGTAATGTAGCATAAGGCACATATTTTTACACACTTTACTTACTCAGCATATTATACATTTTTAAAAATATTTTACATACTAGTGTTAAACATAGCATAATGCACATGCTCAATATATATATACTCTTGCATAATTTATATTTTATACTTCTTATTTATACACCTATAATTTTCCATGCTTTACATCAGAGCAACTGTAGCATCTAACAGTTTCCCCCCGGGAATCAATAAGGTATTTCTGATTCTGATTAAAGAGTGATCTTTTGTGGTTTTGGTGTTGCAAGTGATTTTCACTTATTTTGTTAATCCCCTCGAGTACATTATTTTTGGTCTGACTGGTGTTTTTGTTTATCAAAAACTTTCTGAATTAGTTTTGTGTTTTCAACATGTGATAATTGATTTCCACATCTGGGCCATGAATAGGTTTAACTGCTACTTTATTACTAACTTAAAAATAATTGTGACTAAATGCCACATTCATAATGACAAATGTTGTACAGTTGAGCCTCCTGTCACCATTTTTCTTTTTTAAGAAACCCAACTAAATGCTGAAACTTACCTCAAACAACACCCAAGCGGTTAAGTTAAGTTTAAGTTTATTTCCTTTATTAATCCCCCTGAGGAGAAATTCAGTGCTGTAACCTCAACTATTGTTTTATGCATTTTTAATTAACCACATTTTATCTATTTATTCATTTTAATTTCACAACATTTTTTTATAACAAAAGAAGTATACAACAATTGCCATGCAAGAAAATAACAACATGCCAGAGTGTTGTATTAAAAGTCCATTTATTTTAAGCCTTTGCAGAGCCTAAAGAAAATGTGCGTCCTTTAAAATATTAAAAGTCTTTGTAGATTTTTATGTCCTTCACATCTTCCAGCAAGGTGCCATGCTGCTTGAGTTTAATAATAAATACGTTAAAGCAGGGTTTGGAGTCAGACCATTTCGATTTGTGGATGTGGAATGTACCAATAATGATCAGAGGCTGAATAATATAAGTATTATTACAATGAATCCCATAGAACACAAAATATAACATCATATTTCTTTATAAAGTCTCACATATCTGTAACAAATAAACTTTAATGTCACAGTGTTTTTTTATTATTATTAGCTATTTTTAAACTGTTATTTCTATTTTTTTGTCCTGTGGAGGGCAGTAAGACAACAAATCGCATCTCAAGTGCAAAAAACGTAGAAGAAGAAGAAGTGTACTGCGCATGCTCACTCCAAAGTCTAACTTCCGGGCTGAGGTTGTTGATTTATCTGTCGCCGATGATCTGTCAGGTGTAGATAACGGTGAAAGTCACAAGACCTGTTCGTACTGTATTGTTTTTATTTGTATGAACAGTGTGTTCATTACATGTAGTACAAAACGGACCGCTCTTACTGTAAATATATTCGGATTTAAAAGGTTGTTTTACTGTTTAAAAACTCCCGGACCGGTGTGACTGAAGTGATGCAACATGGCAGCAACTCCCCTCACTAGGTGTTTTCTCTTGGCACTTGGGAGACACAGTCGGTGTCAGAGCCGTGGACTTAACTCTGTGGCAGAGAGGACAGTCAGCAGGGTGTCCTCTGTTGTGATATGTGACCACAGCGGAGCAGAGAGGAACACAAGCCTGGATAAAGGACCCCCGGTGGAGGAGTGGGACAGACAGGGTGGTCGGGACAGCAGCAGGAGCTCCTCTCTGATCAAGTCAGTGGTGGGTTTGGGACTGTGCGGTGCGGTGCTGCTGGACAGCCAGGAGGATGACAAAGTGAAGGACGGAAGTGTCTCCATATCCGGCCGGATTCGTGAACTCATCCTCCCCACAGCTCAGTGTGCCTCTCCCTATAAACCCGACAGCCCCCGCTACAGATATAACTTTATTGCAGATGTGGTGGAAAAGTCCACTCCAGCTGTGGTGTACATTGAAATCGTGGTTAGGTGAGTCGACTGAAAAGGTGCCATATGGAACAGTAATGTCAATGAAGTTACAGCATATGTTACACCACCTTCAAGGCTATGTTATCACTGCAAAGCTTGTTTTTTACTCACACCATTTATTATTCACAGTTAGTAAAATCAATGACCATTTTGAATAACGTTACCATGGGCACACAATACTAGTAACACAACATAAAGAATGTGATGAAGCTAATAGCTGTTTCTTCCCAATTGTGAATAGATGCACTTTCTGTAACTGTGAACGAGGAGAAATGTTATATATCTTAAAATGTACTTGATTGTGAAGGAGAAATGATTGAACATGTGTTTGTAGACTTTACATGCCTCTAGTTTTTGGTTTGATTTACAAAGGGAACCCTTCATAACATTTTAAAAACAGATGTCACACTAACAAATATTGATATATTACTAATTTTCAACAATCCCGGTTTCTTGGCTGATGAAAAGTACATAATTAACTTGATTATTTTTTTAGCAAAAAATTACATACATAAGAAAATAATGATAGTAATGCATGTTATTTATAGGCGTCTTTTAGAGCACTGAAGGACACCTTGCAAGACACAGTTAAAAAACAAACAAGCAGCAATGTATCCATAGATCATAACAACAATTCAGTGCAGTAAAAGATAATAAAATTATTTGGCAAAAAATTGTAATTATAAATTTTAGGTATAAAATCATCATCATAAAGTCGTCCTCATCAGTGCAGGTCACCGTATTTGTGTCACCATCAAATCAGCCCGAATATGGCAGCTTGAAAAGGTGTGACAGACAGGATTTGAAAGTGGAAAGGGAGTCAATATTGTGAATGTAGTTGGGGAGAGAGTTCCAGAACGACTGAAGGGTCTAGAACCTGTGGTAGGTGGTGATTTGAGCTGGACTGCAGAAGAGGATCTAAGAGTATGAGAGGGTGTGCAGATATGAAGGAGTTCAGACAGGCAGGAAGGGGCTTGATTATGAAGGGCCTCATAGGTGAGAAGCAGAATCTTGAAATCAATGTGATATTTAACAGGAAGCCAGAGATGTTGCTGCAGAACAGGAGTGAATTCTGTACCAACTGGAGTTTATGAAGACACTTGAGAGGGGAAAATTATATTTTTTTTAAACATACCAGTTTAAAGACAAGCTTGACTACTGTTGAAAAATTAAAACTAGAACATTATAAATTGGCAAAAACTATCAGATTATTTAGTCATTTCAGTTTTGTTTCATCTGTTCCTTACTTTTTCCTACATTTTATTTGTTGTGCAACTGCATTTAATTTTACATTATTATTATTATTATTATTATTATTATTACATATATTTTCTACAACTTTTATACTGAAAATCTGGAATGTCTATATTCCATGTATTGAATATATTCTGTAAAATTTGGGGGGAAAAAGAATGTGATAAAGTGCAGTAGCCACATAGCTGAGATGCCTTTGGGTCAGGTAATCTGATGTTATTTTGCTGACTTAGTGTCACATCTGTGTGGTAGAACAGTGACTAGTGATCATTTTGGTATCTGTGTCAAGCTAATCATTTACCATTTAAGATGACAAAGGTCCATCATAAAGTGCAGAGCTCACAAATAATTTATTTAATTTATTAATATCAGCAACTGAAACATCCAAAGCATTTAATTTGATGACGTGGAAAACAAGGGACAGTTTTTAGTTGTGAAGTTGTGATCAAGGGAAGTGTGGTATTTTGTGCACATTTATAAATAGATATTAGAGTTGCAGGTTATGTTCTGTTTAATAATTAATTACTCAGTTCAACACTTGAGCACTAGATTGTCTTTTGTCACAGCCACACTTCATGGCCTGGGACTGGTTTGTGATAAAGTGATTAACTGTAACTCTGTGACTATGTGAGTGTGCTCTATTGGATCTCAACCTTTCTCCTGTCAATGACCCCTAAATTGATAAACATTAAAGCATGGAATCACATTTGATAAGATTTCACTTCAGGGACCTGAAAAGATTTTGGTTGTTAGGTATGATGTCTATAGTTGTCCTCAACTACAGTTGAGGAAATCACCATGGAGGAAATGAAACTTATGATCAGAATTGTCACTCATAAGACTCTGAGCCACTGAGCTCACTTCTATAGTGAATCGAGTAGTGAAAAGAAACTATTCCCCATTTTCTGGGGACCACCTGTTGAGCACATTATCAACTGCCATGATAAGGCCCTCAAGCTGGGGCCTGTTTACTGGATCTTGTTGAAGCAGCCTATTTGTCAGCTGCTAAAATAAAGTTTTCTTTTTTTGTTTTTGCTTCCAGGCTGAGTTTGATCATCTGCTTTTACTGTTTTACAGGAACCCATTTTCGGGAAGAGAAGTCCCGCTGTCAAATGGCTCTGGTTTCATCATCAGCAGTGAAGGCCTCATCGTCACCAATGCTCACGTTGTGGCCAACAAGAGAGGCGTCCGCGTGAAGCTCAACAACGGAGACACGTACAACGCCACTGTGCAGGATGTTGATCAGGCGGCAGACATTGCCACCATCAAAATCACTTCAAAGGTGAGCAACTAACCATAATAATCTCTGCCAGAGGAACTGTTTGTTTTTTACTTTGCTTGATGCATTCTATTACAGTGGTATAAGCAGGGAGGCGAGCCGTCAGTATCATCACTGTAACAGACAGAATCAGAAAACCCAAAGAGAAGAATGCAGTCAAATTAGCAATATCTTAAGGAGACAACCTTCAAACTTGATTCTTGTCATTATTTAATATGAATTTTATTGCATTTTGGAGTCTTGGTGCTCGGCTGTACGCCTACTCAAGAGGTCATGGGTTAGGGTTTGATGACAAAAGCTGTATATAAAGCAGCGTTATAGTCCCTTAGCATCATAAAAATAGTCTCAATGAAACCCCCTGTACAACCGTTGAAGCATGACTATCTTTTGCCTGAGAATAACAAGCCTGTGATTCATACAGTCAACTGAAAGACCACCACAGCAAAATGAATGGTCTTCAGTTCCCCTTCGAAAAGCTGAACTGTGATAGCGTATGACTGCAACAAGGAAAAAAGGGCATTTATAAAATAGGAAGCTCTATTATTGAATGACCTAAGAGCTGCTCTTTCTCTCCACCCATCTTCCCCGACATGCAGAATCCTTTACCCACGCTCACCCTCGGTCGGTCGTCTGATGTTCGACAAGGAGAGTTTGTGGTCGCCATGGGAAGCCCGTTTGCTCTACGCAACACAATAACGTCAGGAATCGTCAGCTCGGTGCAGAGAGGCAGTAAGGAGCTGGGACTATCTAAGACCGACATGGACTACATCCAGACTGACGCAGCCATAGATGTGAGTATTCTGAATTTAACTATGTTAAAGGATGTATACGGATCAGTCACAACACTATAACCGCAGACAGGTGAACGGCAATGCAGTGTTCTACTGGCACACCTTGAGTCCTGGCATTCATGTGGATGCCACTTGACACACACCACCCACCCAAACACAGTTGCAGACCAAGTATACCCCCTTGTGGCAATAGCTCTCCCCAATATCAGTAATGGCCTGAGGAAGGTGACAAAAAGCTCAAGGCGTCGACTTGGCCTCCATATTCCCCAGATCCTCAACCATTCAAGCATACATGGGATGTGCTGGTACCCCACCTCGCAACCCACAGGACTCACAGGATGTGCTGCCATCGATGCAATGCCAGAGACCACATGATATCCCTAGAGATCCTGTGTCCATGTCTCGACAGGTCAGAGCAAAGTCCGATCCCCACAGGCCCCACAAAGGATCAGACACGGCTTTGGGGTACCAGCATGTCCCACAAATGCTCAAACTGTTTGGTATCTGGAGATTTTAGAGGCCAGGTTGATGCCTTGAGGTCTTTGTCACATTCCTCTAGTCATTCCTGAGCAGTTTTTGTGGTGTGGCATGGTGCACTGTCCTGCTGGGGGCGCTGGGGGGGCACTGTTACCAGGTAGTGCTGCTGCCACGACGGAGTGTACTTGGTCTGCAGCAGGAACATTGTATTGTAACAAGATGATCAATGTCATTCACTTCACCTGTCAGAGGTTTAAACATTGTGGCTGATCGGTGTATGTGTGTGAACAGAGTTACCATGGTGAGGCAAAGAGGACAACAGTTGCTTTGACTGCAGTTTAGCTGTGTTGCTAGGATGTTAGCAACAAAAGTGTAAATATGTTAGGAAACAGGAGAGACTTTACTGTGACTCAGAAATGTCTCATATTAATGTCACATGTGACTGATTTGTTTTTGCAGTTTGGGAATTCTGGAGGCCCCCTGATTAACTTGGTGAGTCACAGGATCATTACATTCAAATGTCACCAAACCTGTTCTGTGTCTGCGGTGTGTGACGCCTGAATGGACAACTGCTCGTTACTTTACAGACTCCGATTGAGGTTGCTGGACCTTAATAACACGTTGGTGCATAAAGCCTTTTCTGAATGCATTATCTCTCCTCTAATTAGGACGGTGAAGTCATCGGTATAAACACCATGAAGGTCACCGCAGGGATCTCATTTGCTATTCCGTCCGATCGCCTGAGGCTGTTTCTAGATCAGGCAGCAAACAAAAAGAGTAAGAATCAAAAGCTACACATCACACACTCCTTCTGTCTCCCACATGCTCTGTAGCATCCGACAGTTCTCTCTTATGACAGACATTATTTTTACACGTCCTATTTTTGTGCATCTCCTTTAAGATTCTTGGTTTGGTGAGTCAGAGGCAAAGCGGCGGTACATTGGTGTGATGATGCTAACGCTGACGCCGAGGTAAATGCTTCACAAATAGAAATGCACGCAGTGAGACTGGGTGGAGCGTCGTACAGTTACAGCACCCCTGTGTCTAAATCCGTTTCTGATTTGCTTCAGCATCATCGCAGAGTTGAAGCTGAGGGATCCATCCTTCCCTGACGTGACGCACGGCATCCTGATTCACAGAGTGATCATGGGCTCCCCGGCCAACAGGTGAGCAGACCAAGCGACTGTGGGGTGCGGCTGTGTGGCGGAGGGTCCTTCTTGCTTTTCATGTTTCAATGTTCATTGACTGAGCTTGTATGATGTTGTTTCAGAGCTGGCATGCTCCCAGGAGACATCGTGCTGGAGATGAATGGAGTGAAGGTGAACACGTCAGAGGAGATCTACCAGGCCGTCCGCAGCAGCGACAAAATCACCATGATGGTGCAGAGAGGAAACGAGTTGCTTCGGCTGCAAATGACTCCAGAGTACACAGAGTGACAATAACTGCACGATTTAGTTTTGTCATGCTAACCTGAAGGAGGGTTGGCCTCATGATTACATCATGTTTAAATGTACAATTTTGAGCTCCGGTGTTTGAAGATTTTTGTTAAATAAATTGTTGGTAGGAAAGTCCAGCAAAAAGGCTGCAGTGTCAGTACGTATCCCCGAGGTTTAAACTTCTCTGCATCAGTCTTTCTCTACATGTCTGATGGCTGTTAACAACACAATGGTTTCAGTGTTATTTCTCAATTCAAGCTGTGTGAATGGTCATGAACCTGACAGCGCCTAAAAACTTAAAACGCATTAACAGTCGAGTATTTATTCCCAGGTTTCTCTGAGTACAATAAATGTATTTTCTACCTCTACAAAATGCTTCTTCTTACTTTGCAAAGCAGCAAAACTAGTCATGCGTCAGTGTTTCCACAGCTTGAAGCACAATGAGCCTCATTCACCAATATATTCCTGTTTTTTCCTTCAATTTGTACTTGAGAAAGGTCAACATCATATTCATGACATATTTTTGAACTGCAGAATTGTTCGCACCCATGCTCTCATGACCATGAATCCCATTGCCCTCCTAAATTGACAGTGTCAGTAAATTGCAGTTGTATGTCTATGAACCAGCCAAATTACAGTTTACATCCATACAGTATGTGTCCAGACTCATACGTAGCCATGACAATGACAGTAGACAGTGCTTCAAATATGGATGCTGCTGGAGAGACGCTACTAATTCTAAAACATTGATGCTTCACACACATCTTCAACCTGACAGCACAGATCTTTACAATCAGCACAGTTTCAAGGTGGACACACAAGATTTGAGTCACCAATTCAGCATCTGACCAAATGTTCCTGAGAACACTATGATAATTGAATTTGACCCTCAACCTTTTGGACATAAAATGTCATCACTTTGTTGTATGCTGTTAGACATTTGTGTGAAATTGACATAATTAGTGTATCAATCCTGAAGTTATGGTCAAAAACAGTGACCTTTGACCACCAAAATCTAATCAGTTCTTTGAGTCCAGGTGGACGTTTGTGCCAAATTTAAGGAAATTCTTTCAAGGCATTCTTGAGATGTTGTGTTTCCAAGAATGGGACAGACAAACAGCAAGACAACCTGAAAACATAATGCCTCTGGCCACAGCTATCGCCGAAGCGGAGGCTTTGAAATGGACCTGCACTTTAATAGCACCTTTCTAGTCATCTGACCACTCAAAGCGCTTTCACATTCACCCATTCACACACATTCACACACTGGTGGCTGAGGCTACCATACAAGGTGCCATCTGCTACTCAGTTTTTAACACACTCACACACCAGTGGAACAGCCATCAGGAGCAATTTGGGGTTCAGTATCTTGCTCAAGGACACTTTGACATGCAGACTGGAGGAGCCTGGGATCGAACCGCTGGTCTTCCGATTAGTGGATGACCCGGACGACCTTCTACTGACGCTATATTTAATAGTAGAAGATATAAAATAACAGAAAAGAACAATGCATGGGATGCTGTTACTTGTTACTCTCTGTAAATAGATCTACATGGTCCTGGAAGATGTGTTACCTCCTCAAGGGATGACCTGCAACATTTTGTAGCAGCAGTGAATATACTATGTGGGTAGACCTCAGGTCCAGAAATAGGTCCACTTCAAGCTTATAAATAGCAACACTAATTACTGGATGGCATGATTCCTAATTAACCCAGTTGTTAATGGTGAAGGAGGCCCAGCGTTTGTAAACTGCAAGTTAATGAAACCTGAAACAGTGTACTTTATTAAAGCCATTTAATGTTAGACGGCAACAGGAAGCATGAGAGACCCAACAATATGGCATGGATCAATGGTATAAACAGACTACCGTTAACTGAGCAAACAAGTTTGACAACTCACGAGTGCTAGAACGATGACAATGATCACACAAGTATCAGAATATCCCACTTATTTTAAAAGGACTGTTTTTGAGTATGTCACGCACAGTAAAAACCAAAAACATGATTTCACTTCATGTTAAGAGAAAAATGCTGATCATCCATGATAGAGAGCAAACAAAGAGAAGTGAAGCTGCTGCTCTCAGATTTCAGTTTGAGAGCAAGAGTCAGCGCCGTGGAGCCATATTGAGTAAATTAAAATTTCCCTGGTATATGTACAGTAACACACACTTACAGTAAAATAATAAAGTGACATGTACTGGACTGCTACACAATTAAATGCATTTACCTCAAAGACTGATAGCTAGTAAATGGAGATAACATTCAAACCACCTAAGGCTTAAACAATATGTTCATACTTCTGGACTAAAGACATCTTGTTAGGTACGAGTACTACAACATACAAGTATGGGAGGAAAAATAAAATTGTTCAAATCCCATTAAAACGACTTTAAAAAGGCTTAATATATATTGCTGGTAATATTTTTCTTTTTAAGAAAATATAAATTGTGCGACTGAAGCTTACAATACACTGCTGGCAGTAGCGCCAGGGTCTGGTGACCTGCTGGAAAAGGGTCATCTGTCGAGGCGTTGTGTGCTGAGAGACTCCCCGGAAGAGAGAGGAAACAAAACAAAACAAAACAAAAAAACACGACAATTTGGACATCTCATGATGTCTGAATCCCTTGCACCAAAACCCAGATGCTGCTATGGTGTTTGTCACGGTGGAATGCTGCAGATATCACATGGGGTGCACAAACAGCAGCCAGACTATAGTCAAACTCATACAGATACATAAATAAGGGGCAGTGGGGGTGAGGTTAGGGGTCGTGGAGAGGGAGTGACAATATGAGGGAGGAAATTGTAGTGTCCAGTCTAGTCCAGCAGTGAGCAGGCTAAGCATTGACTCAATTGACGTGGTCCAGAGCGCGCAGCAGTTCCTCCCCCTGCAGCAGGTACTGGCGACCCTGCAAGGGGGCGTTGACCTCGCAGTCGTAGCGGGTAAGCTGTGGCAGGGTGAAAAGGGAGCTGGTGCCCTCCGCTGTGCTGCCCAGCAGACGACTCGCCACATCTGAGGAAGGACAAGACATTTAGGAGATGGGTTAATTTCCTTATAATGAAATCTACGACTGAATATGTCTGTCAAAAAACTTGTCTCTGACTGCAATGAGATGATGGAAGGCAGCTACGTCAATAAACATTTGGGAGTGACGATATCAACATGCTATATTGTTGATGGAAAAAATATGAGACTTAACTTAACTCTCTTTATTTTTACTGACACAAAAGCGCAGACCAAATTAGACTTTTTTTTTTTCCAATGCTGCAGTTCTGTTCCCTGTGCTGCGTGCACCATATCAGGACTACACCAACAGCACACAATGAGCCCAGCCAGGAGGACTTGGAGTAACCTACTGAAGTTATAATTAAACAATAACAACCAGCAGGCTTAGGCGAGAGACAGGAGGTTATGTTTGGCCCCACTATTTTATAATGTTTTGTAAGAGAGCATTGGACCCCAGGCCGGTTATTGTATCATGCTGGTCCAAAATAAATGTGCAAAGAACATGTTCCCATGTCTGGATGATAGCATCAGAGCACAAGATCAGAAGCTTCCTACAAAGCTGCATTCTTCATCATTCAACCTGTGTTTTTTATCACATACTGATGAGATATAAAATCTTATGTGACATAAGTTTGGCTAAAATGAAAAATGACAGACTGAAATGTTCAATAAAAATGATCTGAGGACTAAAAATAAAAAAATGCTGACAAATTTAACATGATAAGAGTTAAGATTCAGATGGCGGTATGCAACAATCTAAAATGATTTATGTTTATTCACCTGTAGGCAGCAGAAGTATGGTCCTGGTTGTTCCCGACTCTGAGGGCTTCAGCTTTTTGCCCTTCTCCACTTGCTCCTTGGGCAAAGTCTCCTGGAAAGGATCATCAAATACAGACACTCAAACCTTCCATCTGTACATATAAAGTATGATCTGCAGTACATTAACGTGGATGTTGAGGACTTACCTGTTCAATCATCTCTTTTACGTCATCCAGTTTTCTTTTGCGTTGTGCGTTTTGAGCTGCCAGAGTCCTGAGCGAGACTTCTTTGTCCAGCTGTGGGGTCCTGTGGCACAGCAAGAGACGACGTGTTACAGTTTAGAACAGATTAGAAGTAATTCACACTCCTGTCCAGTTGGTGGCTTGTGCAAATTGATTTACTGCTGTCTGGTCTTGTCTTTGATCTCATGTGCATGACCTCGTTGTCTAGCTGGCATTATCACTACATATAACTGCAATATATCACAGCAGCTGAGTGTCCTAAGTTTCTTTGACCACTCTGTCTGCTAATCCTTTCTCGTCACACCTTAATAAACAGGTTTAGTGCTGCAGAGCGAACCAGAATGATGCTCCACCACTTTTTTTCCTCCATGTGAGGAAATAAAACATTCACATTATCCAGTTGAATTTTGAACACATTTTTAAAGCGCTTTAAGACTCACAAAAGCTTATGTTATGCAACAGAGCCACTCAAAACAAAATGAATGATCAAAGTTGTCATACTGATATTTGAACATCAACTCAAACATTGAGCGACATGCAAGAAAACATTCCACCTTAAAAGTTGCCGGTAGCTACCAGTGGTAGCCGTTGAGCAGCACAGTCAATTATATCATTTTGTTCCCAGTGTAAAGCTACCAACTGTCAACTAGTAAAGATGCAAAGGCAGCAAACGATGTTTTCATTTAACAGTTACAGTTGACTAATATACGTAAACTTGTCACCGTGGGAACAGTGGTTACATAGCCTTTGAAACAAACCACAACTTAACTCTGCTTGTCACATCATAGGCGCACATACTGAAACAAATAGCACTACACCCCTGCTTAAAAAAGCTTTATCTAAAAGCTTGATCTGTATCTGTCTTATAATCATAAGGAGTTAAAATAACAAATAACAGATTACTACGTAACAAAATAGGACCCTGTCCATCAAAATGACAGACAAAGTCTATCGCTATCTCTGCACAGCAGAAGTGATAAGCTGATCCGAAGGCGATATTAATTACCTCTTAGTAACGATGGTGACAGGATGGCGGGCGCTAAGTGGTGCTGGGGAAGCTGTGCGACTGCTTGGTGCGCTGAATGGGGAGCTGGGATAGCTGTGGATGTCCTGCGTGACGTGGACTGGAGAACTCTGGAGGGATTTGACTGACCCACAAGAAAGAGGCTCATCTGGGGTCAGACTGCGCAGCTGGAAGTCATCATCCATGGGGATGTAGGGCGCTAACATCTCCAGATCTAAGTCATCCATTGCCTGAAGGGGAGACAGAAAGGTCTTCTGAATAAGAGTGTAGAAAACGTTTCGCTGTATTAGATCAACAACTTGATTTAAATGCAGTAAAATCTAGACTATCTCCTGGGATTACCTGTGTGCTGAAGGGGGTCTTCGGCTCTGTATCAATGGCAAACAGCTTCTCCACCAGGTCTAGTTTGAAATCTGAGCTCATCTCTGAGTCCATGGGGAAACAAAAGTCCAGCGAACTGTCGGTCTAAAGAGAAGAGTACATTCGTAAATGGACATAAAAGTTTATTGACTTTATTGAAAAATGAAAAATAGCTGGGTCTGACCTCTGAGGAGCTGTGGCTGGTCGATGTTGTGGAAGGAGCTGGAGCAAAGCTCTCAGCTTTGGCAACCTCAGAGCTGGTGGTGGTGACATCGAGAGGCTCGCTGGGTGGCAGAGGGGAAAGAGGCAGAGCCAGCTTGTCACTGGTAGAGGGAAGCATTACATCATTGTAGAGAGGCACCTCCTTCAGTAGCTGGATCTCCGAATCTGTACCAGAAGACACAGAGATGTTAGACGGTTCCTGATTCCTGCTGTGGAGAACTTTAGGTGTGTGTACATAAGTCCACGAACCAGGGCAGCTGAAGTCCAGGGAGATGATGGCATCTCCAGCAGCTGGCGCCAGCAGGGTCAGGGCCTCTGGCTCTTCTTTCAGCTGGTCATACAGGCTAACCAGAGGCTGGGCCTCTACCGCCTGAGTGAACAGTCTGATCACATCCAGCTCTGGAACTTTCTCCTCCTCCTCCTTCAGCAAGGTTGGAGACATGTCGGGCTGGCTGCTCTCAACTACAACCCTTTCTTCCCCCACCTGTTCCTCCTTCACTGGCTTCACATCCTCAGTTTGCTCCAGAGAAAAGATCATTTTCTCCTCCTGGATGCCACTGTAACACAGTTATGAAGCTGTAAGATTGAGTTGACTGAGTATTTTTTAATGGCTCTGAAAATAACCACAAGACCATTCACACTGTCAGTAATCTTTTTTTGTAGATGCTATTTCTCCAGCTACCTCACTACACTTAAAGCAAACCAACACACTGACAACCTTTCTGAAAAGACTGACTCGTCGAAGAGCATTAGTAGTACCTGAGCACAAAGTTGACACAGACAACACACTGTGGCTGGGAGTTCTTGTTGTTGTAGATGACAGTGGCTTGTGTTTCCACCCACACAAAGCCTCCCCTCTTAGCCAACATCCGGTACTGGCCTGTGCTGACCTGGCCCTTTGCAAACACTAAGAGCAGAGAGAAACAAAAGGGGAACAATATTAAAGATAGATGTATATGTTTTGTTAAAAGATTGGCAAAAATAACAGCTGGTATTCGTTGTGGATTCAAGAGCAAGTTTTAATTCACTGCACTCTTTGTGTTCATGCTTACAGTTGTGGTGAGTCTTGGTAAGATGGTCTGAGTCCAGAGCGTGATAGTACTCATACACAGAGCGATTCAACAGGTCGTCTGGATCATAACCCATGAGCTCAGTGATCCTGGACAAGCAAAAAAGACAAGGATTGAGTCTCCCATTGCAGAGCAGTCTTCTGTAGTACCTACAGATAACACTAGGTGGCTCTCTGTGACTATGCCAGTGAGAGCTTGGCATTAACAGCCAATAAAAAGTACAACACACCTGAATGGATCCATTTTAAGCTTCTCAACATTCACTCAGACACGCAAACTCACCTCTCGTCACAATACGTGAACTTCATGTCCATTGTGTGGCGGCTGAGAAATGTCTTGGTGTCCAGGGGGACCTCGATGTTGGAAGGGTGTTGGATGGGGTCACAGATCAAAACCAGGTAGGGGACAGGTGGCTCCTTGTGCCCATTGGAAGTGTCCTCAACATGGTTGTCATATACACGGATATGACCTGCACAGTGGAGCACCTAGAGAGCAAACACAGGAGGGTCATAAGACCTTAATGACCATTTCCAGACCACAAGAACTGACAGACAGTTTTGACATTTTTAAAGAGTATTTCCTCATTGATTGCATGGAGGCCTACCTTCCATGTAGCTGATTTGACGTTGACAGTGCGGCCTCTGCTTGTGAGAGTGCACTTCATTCGGAGGAAGAAGCTGCGCTCTGTGTTTGGTTCCTTGGTCTTTTTGGAGCCTGAAAACAATCAAACAGGAAGAGATGTTAACTGCCTCTGATCATAAACTTTTGCAAGCTGCTCACATTTGCATTCTGAGGGGACGTTAAGCTGTAAAGGACTGTGGTCAGATATAGCAAGATAATTAAAGGAAGTGGAGTTGCAGCCTAGTAGCTGAAATAATATCAGTTTGTATCAAAGTTCCCTGCTGAATGGAGCCTTGAGTGTTTGTGTGTTCCCCTACTCTGTCCACTAGTCAGCTCACCGTTGGTGTCCCTCACCTATTTTGTGGATCAGCATCTCCCTCAGCTCTTCCTGGTCGCAGGGATGTATGAAGTCATACACACTGTGTCCAGTCAGGTCAAACTGCAGCAGAAAGAGTGAGGACAGAGTGTAAGTCAGTTTACCAAGTAGTTTAATTTCATAGCTGTGCATGTTAGACATTGCATGGTGACTCAAAATCTTCTTCAATAAAAGGCCTAACGTGTAAGACTTGGCTATATATCTGTATCAGTATCTATAGACAAAACAAAACCCAAATTAACCATATTTTTTTTGCTTCTGACTCTAAGCATATTTATACCAGGTATCAACATGCGTCCTGGGTGATCCGATCACAAACGAATAGCGCTGAATACACATGTAAACACCCACCACGACACATTATGATATGACTCAGTGCACAACATGGTGGTTGTTTTGGTGTCATTGCACTAACGCTCCTTGACATGCTCATTTTGAGTTAGACGAAGTGTTGCATGACCGTCGTGACTGACACTGCAAGGAGATGTGTTGAATTCTGCTGACACAGACATCTCCAGCTGTAACGGCACAATTACTGACATGACTAGCAAGTATGCTAACGAGCAGCTAGTAAGAGTATGGATGCAATAGCTGTGCGCAGTGCCCTTTGACCCTCTAGCGTAAGTGACATAGGCAGTAATAAGATCTGAACAAAGTGGTCATCTTGAGACGCATGATAGACACAGGTGTGAACAGCGATGTATCGCAGCTGTCCACTAGTGTTTGGATCACAAAAACACATGATAATACCAGGTATTAACAGACTCACTGTTTCCCATCAACCTTACGCTCTTCCCTCCTGTTGTGTTTTTAAAGTTGCCACCCAGCAAGTCAAATCAGACTAACCTGTGCCAGCCCCAGGCACCTGTTGACATTCTCAGAGAGATAGATCATATCTCCGTCTTCAGACAGCACCATGAGAAAGCCATCGAGAACCTTTAGGTAGGAGCTGTTTAGTTGTATCTCAAGCTCTGTTTCCTCATCTGCCACTGGCTCATCTGCTGGAGATAACAAAAAAGGGGAGGGAAGAAAGATAAGAAAGAGAGTGACGAAAGTAGGGAGAGAAAATAAAACACGAGGACATATAAAGACTTTGTTGTAAAAAGAACATGCAGGGCAGGATACTGAGACACCCAGAACATACAATGCACTACCCACAGAAAAGTCTGCAAAGGGATCTGTATCAGTGTTCATTACTTAAATCTAATGACTTAATGTAACCTTGCCTGGGTCCAGGACATTGACTCTGTCAACTACATACAGTTAACAGATTGCTTGGCAATGTTTAACCATCTATTGCTGTTTTTTCCTGCATCTAAAACTGGCCTCACTTTTTCTTTCAGTCTTTTTAGGGTGTCATTTCTGTCAGCCAAAAGATCCTTTAATTTTTAAGTTATCTGTGGCTCATCACAGTGAAAAAAAAAACCCCAATGTAATTTCTGGCGCCTTTATCAGAACAATTTGTTCTCAAGCTGCCTCTAAGATGCTGCACAATTTAATTATCACTTGGACACCAGAATTGAATGAATTAAAAACGACTAAGTGCCAAGCTAAATTGTCTACTCACAGTTACAACAACTATAGATACTGACCAGCATTGAGCAGTTTCCTCATGCGCAGGTAGCTGATGGTGAGCCTCATTATCGAGGCCTTGTCCAGGCCGGAGCTGACGCTGTGGGGCAGGGGCAGCTGCTGGGCCAGCTCGTAGAACACCTCCGACTCCTTGCCACGCCGGCATCGTGCCGCATCCCTTGACTTCTCCTTCCTCCGCTCCGAGCTCACCCTGCGGGAGACAGGTGGTGGGTCAGCCACAGCCTGGCCACAAACTAGTTTCGATCCAGCTATGCACACTACAAGAGCTGACATTCCTCCTTCCCAACTGAGTGTGTGTACAGAGTCTGGACGGCCACCGGCCTGTCACTTGGGAGGCTGCAGCAGCTGGAGTCTGCAACAAGCGAGCTCACAGCCAAGCCTCCGTCTGGACCCCTGTCAGACTCATTTACATACATGGCTATCTGCAACAGTTTTATTGGCTGCTGACCACAAGAAAAGGAGACCGCCCCCTAAAAGTGATAGGCTGGGAGGTGGGGCACGGATTCTCCTGTCTGTCTCTTGGTGCACAGCCAAGCTACAGTGCGACACCAAACATACTGACAATTGTCTGGCTGAACGGATCTACAGGGAGGAGCATGGTAATACTGGCACTAACTCAGACAATACAAAAATACAGAGTGAGTGACACCTTCAAAAAGCAGAACAAACAAACTGTGATCACTTTACATGAGCACGCCTTATAACTGCTTGCTGCTCGTAGTAGCTCCATTATAGATCCAACATTTATCCAGGCAGTTATCCAAGCTCTGGCTAATGGACTCTCATCACACTGTAAACAATATCTTAAGACCTGGCAGTATTTTAAAAACAACAAAGAACAGCAGACTTTAAAGGACACAAGGACTTTCGCAATTCACTATTTAATCATTCACTCTATTTTATTGAGTTCTTGGCTTTTAAGCTAAACACTGGGCTTGAGCTGTAGCAAGGTTTACGGGATACTGAGGTATTTAGAAATCAATACCATCAAAAATACAGACACTCTATCTATTAAACTGAATTAGAGATGCTTCATTAAGGCAATGCATTATAGTGCACAGTTGAGCTGAGAAAGATGGGGACTGTGAGTGGTGGGGATAATGTTACAGGACTAGAGATAAAGAATAATGCTGCTGCCCCTGTTTGGCAGTATTGCCACACAGAACCTTATCTTGAGACGACTTCTTCCGACCATGAAAGCAGTTCATTAGCCGAATGATTTTCTTCAACCCTTTGTCTCCTTCCACCACGGCAACAAGTGTCATCATTTCCTCCAGCCTGAAGGGTGCTTATTTCCTATCTATTCATTATTCAATGGGTCATACGTATCTAAGGTCCAGGTAAAGCAAAAACACAATATGTGTACTAAGTTTGTCACAAAACATGTTATTAACCAACCAGCCAAATTTGAATGATTAAAAAAAATCACCATGTATATAAAATTAGGTTTCAAAATTGTGAAAAAAATGAGCTGGGGATTTAGAGCTGTACACTCTTAAGGTGGGGACATACTGTCTACACTGAATGGCCGTGGAGAGCTGCAGTCACGTGGATGTGCATGCGGTTCTATTCATAGTAAAACTGACCATCCACTACAGCCCCCAGCAGTAAACAGGAAAGCTTGGGGGTGAGTGCACTGTCCTCCTATTGCCGACATAAAAACACAAATATCCAACTGAAAACTAATTTCACTATGGTGAGGCAGGTGCAGCTGGCTTCAAAGCAGTGTTCTGGACTAGAGTGGAGCACGAGATTGAAGCATGCACAGTTGGCGCGCTTGCTATGCCTCCAATCAGTCACAAAAGACTGGCTGCACACAGAGGTCCAGAACCGGGGAACAGGAGGTGCTGCACGGCTGTGCTGTGCCCTCATGGTCAGCAGCTAACATTAGCACGAAGCACACAACTACAACAGCGGGCAGTAACTGTCAGTGGGCCAGGTAGCCTATTTGGCCAGAAAGACTGTACGGTACGTTAGTGACGGCTATTAAGCTTGTCTTTATATTATTGTGGCATTTCACAGAGATGTTTATTCATGTACTTCTTAAACTGAAAGAGCAAAGAGAGCTCGTGGGAGATAGCAAACTCAACACTCAGAATGGACGAACGAAACAACACTGATGCTATGAGCTCTGACGTTGGTAGTAATTTAGTATATATATGTAGTAGGGGAGGGGTTATGGTAAGGGTGGCAGCAGCGCATCATCCAACAAGCTTTTAGGCCTGCTGAAAAAATCCTGGACATAGAAACGGTGAAACAGTTTTACAGTCTCGCTACACAACTCAATAATACACAGTTCCCTTCTTTTCGCACATGTTTTCGGCAAGTATTTTCAAACATTTATAATGTGTCTAGAAAGAAATCACTGATTTTGCTTCACATGGTCATTAAACCATGAGCACGTGTGAAGCTCTCATGACCAATAAACAAACTGGCTATATCTGTGACATAACTGCGATACTCAACCTGACAGCTGCTGACTTTATTCCACTATCTTTCTCACAAACACAGCCTCACAAGCTCAAATGCATTAAGGTGACACTGGAGCAGCATCACAACAAAATGGATGGCAGTTCAAAAGCCCTTGAGCTTTGAAATGCACACCACCTAATTAAAATTGATCTGTTATGTACTTATAGCATTTTCCAGTGGCCATGTTGTTATTTCAGGCTCTGCCTACTGTGTATCGAGTCTCCTGGCAGGTATTGCAAGTACAGAAGGGTAGGGAAAGCTTTTAGTTTTAGACCCAAACCTTCATTCAAATACAGATTACAGTACAGTAAGCACTCTGGGGTAAAAAGTCTGAGCAAGGCCTTTGTCTCCAGGGCAGCAAAAACCCTGGCACTGAGCAATGCCTAAATAAAACAAATGAATCTGTAAACACATGAGGACTTTGTGTACAGACAGTTGCTCAGGTGAGTGCTGAGTACATAGTCGCACAAAGCACGAACAGTACTCCAAGGCGTGGTGTCCTAACTGTGCAGGTAACAAACAAAACAGAAAAACAGAAACCAGTCAAGCCTAGGAATTTAATCTAAAAAAATATTGACATCTAATCCATGATAGATCATGGCCCAGCCACACTTCTACTGGATATCCTTCCCTGCTGACCTAATCCCCATTTAATGACAAATGCCTGCAGATACAAATTACATGTAACTGAGGTTATGGTGGTGCGTAAAGCAAGAATCCTCCCTTCAAACACGGTTATGTTTGCTGTAATATAAACAGGTTTTAACCCAGACTGCAATACAGCTAAAAGCCTATCTATTCATCCACATTTTTGGACACTTGCCAGTTCCATTGATAAATATTTATCTGTCCACCCCCACCGGACAGACCCAGAGTATGAAGACATCATGAAAGCTGATCACCAAGTTACGTAACCTGTATTCTGTATTGTAACAACACAGCTCCTTTCTCTCAAGCCTGACTTTTGGCTCCTGCTGTAACAATGGCCTTCAACCTACATTCATGCATATAAGTTAATGTATGGGTGAAATTACCATGAATGATTAACAAACCATTGTACACACTGGGAACATCCCCTCACTAAGCTACTGGCTAAGCTTCTGATGATCTAATGACATATAAACCCCACACGCTGTTCTCAATCTGTGGCCCATCATTGGAGGCTGGAGGACAGATTCACACAAGCCTTTATACAACTCTGTTTTCCTCTGTAGTAGCTGCACCCCATTGTATCGCATGCTTTTATGTAAATGCTATTCAAATGAAGGGCAGCTGTTATAGTCTACTGCAATACAACCAGAGTACAAAGTGCGCACCATCCACCAGCCAAATGCTGGTAAAATATTCAAGTAGATGGTGGAACTGCTTCACTAACCAGCCAAAAAACAAAAGTAAATTGTTGAGTGGGTGGTAAAATTTGAAGATTCGGTGGCCATTTGCCCAATAGACAAAAAGGTACATGTCCACTCTGCCTCAGAGGATGACATTTAACCAAGCCTACATTCAACATGACACCAGTACAGCTTAAAACTTATTTAAACTTACAGATAATCAACAACAGCAGATTGTGTTGGAAGCATAACCTCTTTTCACAGTACGACTCTAAAGAATACAGACCTTTGACATAAAATACTAGTTCCTACTTTTGTACTTGTTTTTGTATTCTTCTGTCCTATTGAGTAATGTCACACTTCATGATAAAAAGTAAAACTGTGCTTATTTGATGAACCTCCTCGACCATTTTCAAACTTACATCAGGGAGAAGAAAACTGCTGTTATACTTTTCCATGAAACGTGGAATAAAAACATAGTTCCCTTGATGTTAAAACAAAAGTGAGCAGAGAGGCCACGGTTACATAACACTATTAATGCACATGGTCATGCATGCCTTGCACTCCTCTGCCTGATAAGCCTCACCGCATACAAAATCACATTTCCAGTTTTGGAGCTTTAATTACTTGTTTTGTTTTCCGACAGAGCCAGTGCTAAATGTATTTGAGTAGTAAACAGATATGAACAGGATTGTTGGCAATTAATTGGTAAACAACCTCTGTGTATGATGAAATTCATCCTCGCCAATGCTGCCAAAGTTGCTTGTGTATTTTGTTACTACGAGGCTGACCTAGTTTGCAAGAGACATGTTCTCTCTTTCTGTCATTCCTGTTTAGTGTGACAGTACACTCTGTCTTATCTATTACATAACCCAGCTCAGGGAAACACCACAGCTAAAATCGCTACCCAATATGGGAAGATAAGCAAAGCAACGCTGAAAATAAATCTATTTTACAGCCAAATGAACTTATGGCGATATTAATACCATGGGGTGACATTTTGGAAAGCAGCATTGTACGGACATCTAAATTCTGGAGTATGATGCTTTTAGTGTAACATAGTTTGAATATTGTAATGGATTATAAAAATCAATATTACGCCCTATTTTTGGAAGTGGAATAATGGAGCTGCAGTTCGGTATAATGGTTTAATGGCTGTTATGTAAGCTATTTTCTTGTGTTTGGCTACTCAACAAATGGGTCTAATTGATCACTTAAATAAAGAAAGAAATGGAGGGAAACTCTAAATGAAAACTGAACTGACATTTATGCTGAATGTGTAACATATTTATTCAATTCCTTTGGTGAAAATATAGTTTTTATTTCATCCTGCATCATTCTGCAAATGTTTCCACCTGAGCTAGTTCCATTTAACGTGACGAAAGAC